CTCTTCCCCACTCCCTCCAGCAAACGCTTTGCCTCTTCTCAGGCAGATCATAGGGGAAAACGACGTCGCAAAGACGGAGCCTTCCTGCAAAGTACACAAGGCAGCGGCTGCTGTGACGTTCCCACCAGAGGCTTTTTAGCCTCGGGCTTTGTTGCGCTCTTGGTTTTATTTATTTGGGTTCAGCAAACTCACAAGATGAAAGCGAGACGAAGGAGTGTTTATTAAGAAAGAGTCCATCATTATTTAAAAAAAAAAAAAGAAAAACAACCATCTTTTCTGTCCTCCTTGAGACAGACGAGGCTGCTTAGCCTGAATACTCCTCCGAGTACGAGGCCCACGCACACCCCTCCTATGCTGTAAACCAAGAACTTTCGTCTCAAGTCTCACCGCTCAAACTGATTTTTCTTTCTCTGGCTCTGCCTTGGTCATGATGGGGAGGAGGAGCCTTTATCTTGCTTCTCCTCTCTTGCGAACCGCGGCTTTGCAACTCAGCCATCGCCCTTCCGCAAAAACGCTGCTCTGTGCAGCGGGGCTGAAGCCCAAGAGGTCAAACCCTTCGAGAGGGAGTCCGGCAGCCAGACCTCCGCCCGGAAAGGCTTTCCCTCCGTCCGAGTCACGCGACGCGGAGATCCCTGAAGCTCCTGGCAGGAAAAGGAGAGGTGTCAAAACCGAGAGCGGCTGTGGAAGAGGTGGGCGTGTTACAGATCCATCACTTCTTCCTTCACGGCTTTGTCCTGAGATTGCACATACTTCTCCTGCACTGCAAGTGTGCTGATAATGCAGTAATTAAGGAAAACAAGGGGCTGGGCTCAAACACTCCCTTCTTCAAGGAGCTCTTAACGTTCTCCAGCCCCGCACTAGCCTGAAGGCTGGCAGGAAGGCAGCAGTACTGGCAGCAGCAGGCATCACCCGAGTTATGTCTGGCTCTGGCTGATCCCAGACCCGACAAGTACAGGAGAATCAATTGTATGGTTTGGACGAGGTGGAACGAACCAGTCCCAGTGAGCGTGAGAGAGAGAGGAAAAGTTGTCAAAAGGCTCCTCCCACATTCACAGTATCAATTAGCCACAACCGCGGTGGCTTTGGTGTGGACAACTGTCTGCTAAGGGCTGGGCCGAGCCCTGCTCGCTACCTGCGTATCACCAAACAGCATCAGATGACGTTAGGAACAACCTGGGCCTGCAAACTGCCAGCCCCACCTCCAGCCTCTCCTCCCCAGGGAAGGAGAAATTAAAACTCAACACAACAGAGGATCGGTGGAGAAGGATACGAAGTGAAGTGGAAATCGGCTCCCACCGCCGCCGACATCAGAGCTTCCAGGCTCCTGTGCTCCTGGTCTCCGAAGGAATAGCCGTTGGCTTTGTCCACCGCCTGCATCACCTGCCGCATGCTCTCCTTATCCTGAAAGGGCGGGAGATGACACACAGGGACCGTGGCCCTTCCCCGGAGGCAAGAGCTCGCGCTGGGCTTTACCACGGATTTCCTCCCAGGCTCTGGGCCACCCACACGGTGCCCAACGCCCCGAGCGTGCTGCCGGCCTCCCTGAGCTCAGAGGGGCCGCAGGACAACCAGGGGCACGCCCTGTGGAGCCCAAATACATGACGGGCTGACACCCTCCACCCTCTCGCTCCCTTTCATCACCTCTTGTCTCAGCCCATTTGACTCTGTTGACACTTCTGCAAGCTACAAGATTAACGTTTTCAGCCCCTCCTCCCACGTGCATTCCTCCCAATCGTCTAATTATTTTGTGCTCCCTAATTTAACAACGTTTTAGGTAACGCTTTGCCCAGATTTGAAATGCAGGCCCAGAAGAGTGAACGAAGGGGGAGCCTTAATTCCCCACCCCAGGACACAAAGCCCGCGTAGCCCCAGACTCATCGGCCTTTTCTTTTCCTTTGGCTGCCACAGATGGTTTACGAGTCTGGGTGTATTTCACTGTCCTCCCCCATGCCGGAGTCTCTTCACAGTTGAGCTTTTCAGCCCTCGTGGCTCTACGCAGGTGTAACCTAGCTGCTACCAAACGTGCTGACCACATATCCCAACGCTCCCTGTCCTCTCTGCCCCGCTCCTCCTGCTGCATCACCTGGACGTTGAGCGGAACGAAGGACACCAGGCTGTAGTCCTCGATCACCTCCACCAGCTTCTCATTGAGGCGGCGGTAGTTTCTGAAGAAGGGGTCGGAAGCTAAATGGTCCACCAGGTAGGAGAGGTCCAGGACCTCTGTGTAATAATCCAGGTTGAAAGCTGCAGGGAAAGACCAGGAAGCTCTGAAGGCAATCTGTAAATATTGGGGCTTCCCTGGCCAGAACACGCCACCAAGAAGCCAGCGAGGTTTACACCAGTTCCCCCTCCACCTCCCAGCCGTACATCGCCGTACCCGAGCAGCTAATCCGCACCCGATTCCCCAGCCCAGCTCCACGCCTCTCTCTCGCAAAGGCTCTTACCCAGCTTGCCGTATTGCTCGATCAGGTCCATCTTGGAGAGGATGTTGACGTGGGGCAGTTCCACGTGCAGCATGGTGGAGAGCGAGGTGCAGAGAACGGAGATGAACTTGCCAGGGTCCGTGCAGTAGTGAGAATCCACCAAATGCACCGCAGCCAGCTGGACAGCAAAGGCACAAAGGGACAGCGCAAGGTCAGACCCGTGACGAGTCCATCCGCTTGCTTTTGGGACAGTCGGAGAAGTGGCTGTGGGACAATCTCTCCAGACCCGACTATAACC